GAGAGAGAGAGAGAGAGAGAGAGAGAGAGAATAAGCAGGGGTGGGGCAGAGAGAGAGGGAGACGCAGAATCCGAAGCAGGCTCCAGGCTCCGAGCTTTCAGCACAGAGCCCGACACGGGCTCGAACTCACGGACCGCGAGATCGTGACCTGAGCCGAAGTCGGACGCTTAACTGACTGAGCCACCCAGGCGCCCTGCAAATTCATTTGTAGAATGAAACATGCTTTTCCCCTCAATGATGAGCTGCTATTAATAAATACCTCCGATTATCCAAAATCTCACTGGGAAATGGTGTTAGGGAGCCCCATTGGAGATAAACATTTAAATACACATGATGTAGGATGCTGGCTGCCCTGCCCGTGAGCTGTCTACACCTGTGCTGTGTGGTACAGTAGCCATTAGCCACAGTGGCTCCTGAGCATTTGAAATGTGGCTTAGTGCAAACTCTAGGTGCAAAATATACACCAGATTCCGAAGACTTGGGACCAAAACCGTAAAATATCTCATTAGTATTTTGGAGATATTGTGTTAAATAAAATATGCCAGACTTAATTTCACCTGCTACTTTTTTCACTTTTAAAACTGCAGTTGCTAGGGGGTGCCTGGCTGGCTCAGTCAGTAGAGCATGGGCCTCTTGATCTTGGGGTCGTGAGTTTGAGCCCCATATTGGGTGCAGAGAGTACTTACTTACATCTATCTATCTATCTATCTATCTATCTATCTATCTATCTATCTATCTATCTTTTAGAAAAAAAACAAAACAAGAATATGGCTGCTACATGCAGTTTGGCCTGCATTTTATTTCTACTGGATGATGCTGGTCTACACCCCCTCACAGGCTCCTGCAACCTACTCTAGTTCCTGGGCTCTTATTGGCCCAGGGAGTCAGCTTTGGGTTGAGCACCAGGCTCAGAGACCACAGAATGGATGGTGAGGCTCTCTTGTTTCTGTCCCCACTGGGGATGGGAGCAGGTGTCTCTGGGATGTGTGGGCCAATGGAGGCTTACGGCCAAGCCCTGCAGGGGGGTGGGGGGGGGGG